AAAAGTTCCAGATGGCCATAATAGCAGCACAACAGAAACAACAGAATTCACAATTTATAACTCAAATGTCAATGAAACCTCGTCAATATATTCTCTATGTCATAAAAGACTCAATTAACATCCTAAACAGCAACATAAGCATTCTCTAACATCGCATAACACATAATAATAAGAGAGGATTACCAATTATCATTATCACATCAAAGGTTCAACATAGTGCCACATAAATTCCACATATTCGACAAATATATAATAACCTTAACATGATCGAACGAAATTCTCATACATCAACACTTATAAATAACATAAAATAAAAAGGGGATAAATAAATCACATACTCCTTCAATTATTACGACTTAAAGCTCAACACACATGCATCAGTCTTCACGACCTCCACTCGATTTTTGCACGCGAGTTGGTAACCATTGCCCTTCTCGAGGCTTAGCCATCCTCGAGAGTTGCGACAGCGCTACACACTAGACTTCACTCCTAGTTTTCATTGACTGGGTCCTATGGTTACAGACTTTCGAATGACCCACACACTTGGGACTTCTTAGGTCGTCTGCTCCCTTCATTTAAGCCTTCTCTTTCAAGACGGCTTGCGAGTGGTCCTTACTCGAGGACACTGAACATAATCTTATAGCGAGAAAATGCTATGGACAAAACATAACTTGATAACGACATGCTGATAAATCACAACGAGGAACCTCTAGAGTCAGAATTTAACTCTACATCCAATAAGTTAGAAGGTTTTACATAGGATTTCAAATCACTAAAGTTCATCATTGATCATAGGTGGATAGATGTTTCCTAAGCCCCAAATACAATATGATATATATATATATATAGGGTCGCGCTCCGGTGAGAATGGTGCTTAATGAAAGAAATAAGAATAAATCGTAGCCATTAGATCGGATGATCTAATGGATTAAAAAAAGTCAAAATTATACCTTCATTAAGGGTAATGTGGTAATTTTCCACATCATCTATGCTAACACATCTACACACATGCCACGTCACCACTGTTACTCATAAAACACACGCACCCCACACACAAAACAAACGCACCCACACACAGAACACATGCACACACACACACAACACACACACACACACACCTCCTGTCACACACAAGTACGCAGCATGCCGGCCGGCTCTCCCTGATGGATTCCGGCTCTGCCCCAGACCTCCACCGCACTAGTGGAAAAAACACTTTTTACATCGGTTAAAAATCACTTTTACATCGGTTAAAACCCCTTTTTAAAACCGATGTTGAAACAGGCGATGTTAAAAGTCCGTCTTTTTTACATCGGTTTTGAACCGATGTGAAAAAAAACTTATTTACATCGGTTTTGCCAAATAACCGATGTTATAAGGGAAAAAAATAAGTCTCTAAAATAGAAAAAATCGATTATATTAACATCGGTGTTTATACAACCGATGTAAAATAAGACATTTAACATCGGTTTGTATAAAAACCGATGTAAATAAAGAAATATAACATCGGTTATCGACGAAACCGATGTAAATAAAGACATATAACATCGGTTACCAAAATAACCGATGTAAATAAAGACATATAACATCGGTTATTGGCAAAACCGACGTCAAACATTTTTGTCAAAATAGTCTTTTTGCATCGGCTTTATAAAAACCGATGTAAAATAGAACAACAATTTTATTTAAATATACAATTTTTTTACCTATAAATCTAAAAATCTATTACTGCAAAATAATAACATTCATACATTCAAAATATTCTCACAAGTCAACAAAAACCCACATGACAAATACTAACAACCAAAATATTTCAACACCACCAAGTTATAACAATAATTTTCCTATGCACTACACCAACAATAAGTCATCAACCACAGTTATAAAGTTCAGATTCCATAAAACGTAAGCAAACTGATAAGTCTATTTTCCTAATGAAGTAACCTCAAGAAAGTACTTCGACCACCGCATTTTTATATTTTCAATGTCCTCGTCCGAGTATGGCTCATCAATGTTGAAAGCCTACAACAAACAAATATTAACATAGTTAGAAATTCTCATGATCACAAAAAACAGCAGCAAGCAAGCAAGAAGAGATGACAAGTGAACTTTTAGCCGTATTGTACATAATACAAGGTTATTATTCCTAAAAGATCTAACCTTTTTTACTCATGTACAAAAGATCGAACTTCATAGTGCAAAACAACTTCAAAGTTCAAATACTCCAAACAAAACCTCAAAATTCCTAAAAATAAAATCAGACCAATAAAAAAATCACAAGCAAATAAAAGAAATCAAAAGCCCACTATAACCTGTATTGAATTGTGCATTTTCAAATACAACAAAAAGTTGATTTTAATAAAAAACTTACCTCTTCGAACGAGTCGATAATGTCAAGTGATATAATCTCGAGCATATACCTCATAACAAAATATCCACATTCTGTATCTCCCAATTGTTTTCGACACTTGTATGAAAAACATAAAAACATCATTATACTACACAAACTAAATCGATGCATAAAACCAAGAAAATAATAAAAATCTGCAAAATCAAAACACCTAACATCATTCAATAAATTTACCTTAAGTGGAACCCATTTAGGCTTCATGTTACGTTTTCCCTTAACCATGAAGTATGTACGAAATACACTGCAACATAATAAATATTCATATTACTTGAAAGACAAAATAAGCGAAAATGTAAAAGATAATATATTCAAAATACATTTAGCAAAGAAAAGTTAACTACAAAATCGATCTAATTTATCAATTTAAAAACATACCTGTTAATCTTGTTTACCAACTCTGTGGTGGGATCTTTTCTCAACGAGCACAACCAAACCACTTTATTTTGTTTGGGACAAAGTATCATCAACTGCCAATGTTCTCTGTCAATCCAGAAGATAAATGTATTTAACTGGTACACTTTTTAATTTGTATCTCTATATAATGTTAATAAAAATAAAATAAAGAAAAGATAAAGTGAATTTTATATGTTGTATATTCTTACTCGCTAATGTACGGTGCAAAGATACACTCGTAATTTTCTTTTTCCATTCTTCTCGCAATATACCCTTCTATCTCTTCCTTGCTATTGCCCCTTGTTTGAATTTTGAGCGGGCACAAAAATCCAAACTTTTTTTCTTTCTCGGATTCTTTCAGCACATTATAGAGATACCTGTGGTAACTCAGACAATAAAAAAATTTTAGAAACAAATATAGTGGATAATTTATATATAATACTAAACTATTAAAGATTATTGAATTAAGAATTTAAAATATAAAATTATTACCTCAAATTGCAAATAAAAAGCAGACAAAAAATGTTGAGAAATACTTACATGTTGAAGAATTCAATGATAGAAATGCAAAGTTTTTGACTTTGCAACAACTCCATTATATCCTTCTGAAATATGTACAAATCTCTTTTCTCTCCAAATATCTCAGCCGGCATGTTTATGCAAATTGGATTTTTTATATACCGTGACGCCATCCACAAAGTTGTCACGACATCTGTCTCAGGTTCGATAATCGGTTTTGGTGTCACTGGCTTCGACTGAAATTTATCCTACGAATGAGAAATTTATTCATATAAAATTGTCAAGAGAATGTAAATTCATAAGATTACTCATAAAATGATTTATTTTATTCTAGATAACTCGTAGGAACCGAAAAACCATTCAAGACTATAGAGTCAGAAAGATACTATTATAAGTAATTTTAATTACCTTAGCATTTGCACCTTTAACCAACCTACGAGGCCAAGTAATGAAGTTATTTGGCGCTTCTTCTACGGTAGTGACCTCCTCTGTCGGGCATGGCACGGGCGCATCTCCAACGATAACACGTGACACGACAACCCTAACTTCATCCTCATTCATCTTCTTGTGGTGAATGGTTGGCCCAAGATTATGGATACGTCCGTATGCAACCAAAATTCTTTTTGGGTTCTCCACATACAACTCACATTCTTTATCCTCGTTATGTTCATCCAATGAGAACACATTTGGAGCACAACTCTCTGTAGTGCTTTGGATCCTCGGAGAATTAGGACTAGGGGCAATCGAAGAGCTTTTGCCAATCATCATCATTATTTCATTTTTCATTTCGTCTTTCATTTGGTCAATCCTGCGACTGATGATAGTTTCCATCTCATCTCGCGAGACCATATCTTTCCCTACACCTGAATTGCTCGACGGCCCAAAGAAGTCTTTGATCCCAACACCTTTCCCCACTCCCCTCACACGCCCGGGATGCTCCGGCCTTCCTAAAGCTGTTGCGAGTATATCGTTTCTTCCAACAGGTTTGAAACTGCCTTGAGTGCATTGTTCTTCTAAAGAATCCTGCATAAAAGGTTAGAAGAATTTACAAAGAGTTTTTATCTATTCATGAATGTACGAAAAACTTAAAATATAAAAACCATCACTTACGATTTTGTCAGCAACATTTTTGGCTTCCTTTGAAACAAAATCTCCTTTCTTTGTTATACGAGCTCTTTTCCATAATTCATGACGAGAAGGAGGAGACGGGGGTGGAATAATTTCGGACGGATCAGTGGAGGCCTCTTTTCTTGCCCTGTATTTCTCGTCCATAATCTTCTGTATCATAAAATCGTAGCCTCCACGAGATAATATGTGCGGACTTAGATTATATGATTGCGACTCCTGAGCCTTTCTTCTGATTTCCTACAAACATATAGATTAAAAAACACAATCAAGAAAAACAGCTCAACATCTCAAATATCCACTTATCATTTCTTTTTTCTCAAACAATTCTTACATAAAGATCAAACAAGTTAATAGAAACAATTGTTACACGCACTTTTGATTTTAAATTTCCCCAAACAATTTAATTTTAGTTGTATGGCCAGAGACTCAAAATTATATATGTTCATGATAGTAATTAACTTACCAAGAATTCAGGAGTTTGACGGGATGCAACAAAAGCCTTCCAAGTGTCCGCATCCAGAAAAGGGTAACCATCGTCATACGGGAGCACACCTATCTTATCTCCAAATATGTAATCACTGAGTTTAGTTTTGAAACCCCTCCAAGCATCCCCAGCACGTGAAAACACTTTCTTTTTCAATTTCTCATTATCTGGCACATCGTACTGCTCCTGAAAAATATAAAGATTCATCAAAAAAATAATTAACATTTAATCATTAAACATTTATTCACATAACTTGTACAACTTTATCACAATAAATCATTGAAGCATTGAATTACCAACTATTGTGTTTTCATAAAATATATAAATCATACCAATAAAGCTTGCCAAATTTGCTCCTTATTCCTATCAGTCACTTTTCTCCAGTCTGGTATCAAGATGCTGACTTTGCTACGTCCTAGAACGGCGATGTAGCTATTAAACCTGCTCTTAGTTTTTGGGTCTGGCCCGTTTGCCTGAAAATAACGATTGAATGTAACAGGTTTCTTTTCTCCGTCTGATGTTTGTATGTCTTTCATCCGTGTCGCTCCCCGACCTTTTTTGGCGTGAGTTTCCTTGTCTGAGCCATCTTGAGCACTATTTTCAGAAATATCATCCATTCCTGCATACACGTTTCATAACAAGTAATCAATTTTATTATAAGTTATATGAGTGTGCATATATTATTGATATCGCTCTGCATGATTAATGTTTGACCTTACCCATAGATGCAACATATTTTTCGGACGAAGAAAATTCAAAACTCTTATGTATACAAACATAAACACCATGTATCTATCTCATATATCTCATAGGCAGGCAAGAAGAATTTTAAAAAATCTATATAATTAAACAATCAACTTTCAACATGAATCATAAGGAAAAAATACCAACAAAATATTACCTAAAAAAGAAGCAGTGTTCATTAAACAACAAAATAACAAAGGTGCAACAGATTTTTAATCATGTGTGCAGAAAAATTTAGAAGTATCCTAACCAAAATAGATTAATTGAAAAATAAAAAAGGGACAGAAATCTTAGCAAAGCAAGATGAACAATGAATAATGTGGATGAAAATGGTGAGTTTAGTGGTTTTTATCCTTTGAACAAGTATTATTATATATATATATATATGAATATTATATACTTACGTACTATATTATGCATTCATGGGTGTGTTTTCCCAAATGCCTTCATGATGATCGTCTCGTATGGCATGGACATCATCTGCTTCATCTTCTTCATTTATTACGGACAACCTTGATGATAATGAAGGAAATTCATACATATCAAGACTTGGCTCATCTGTATCATCAAGAAGTTGTCGTTTACCCTGGAGTACCACCGACCAATGTTGGTCACTCGGATCAGCAACATAAAAGACTTGTTTTGCTTGACATGCCATAACAAATGGTTCATTTTTGTAACCTTCTCTCCTGAAATCAACCAATATGACTCCCAACTCGTCTACCCTCACGCCATTATTACCATCAACCCATTTACATTTAAAAACGGGCACGGTAAATTTAATGTAACTAATTTCCCATATCTCATCAATAACCCCGTAATAAGAACTAGCGGCCAACAGTGGATTGTTGTCTTTTGAACTAGAGAAATGCATTGACTCAGCCACAACAGAAACACCACTATTTTGCGTAGTACTCTTATCATCTCTTTCTTTCGTGCAAAAAGAGTAGCCATTGATGTCATATCCACGCCAACATCTAACATCAAAATTAGGACCACCAGCTAACCACATGATTGTGTCTGAAGCAGTAGCATCATTTAAAACCTGATTCTTAAACCACGTTAAGAATGTCCTGTTATGCTCTTGCACAAGCCACCTTTCAGGTTTTCGGGGATTTTGTCGCTTCACTAGTGCCTTATGTGCAACTATGTAAGGATGCACTTCAGGAGTATTATTGAGAACATATGTATGTGCCTGTATCATTTCTTCACGATCAACACTCTTAAGTTGTCCCCCGATAGTCCCTTTACCGGACCCCTTTCCTTTGTGGCGAGCACTAGGGATTCCAACAGATTTTGACTGTGATAAATATTCATTACAAAATTCTACAGCCTCTTCCGCAACATATCTTTCAACAATGGATGCCTCAGGTCGGTGCGGGTTCTTCACATAAGCCTTCAAAATTTTCATGTATCGTTCAAATGGATACATCCATCGCAAATGCACAGGGCCGCATAACCGTATCTCTCGCACTAGATGAACGATTAGATGTACCATAATATCAAAAAAAGCAGGGGGAAAGTACATCTCGAGTTGAGACAAGATAATTGCAGCATCATTCTCCAAATCATCCAGCACACGAGGGTCAATGACCTTGCTACAAATAGATGTGAAGAAGAAACACAATCTACTTATAGTGCATCTTACTTTTTTTGGCAATATACCTCTAATAGCCACTGGAAGAAGTTGTTGGACTAGTGTGTGATGATCGTGAGACTTCAACCCAAGCAACTTTAATTCTTTTATTGACACCAACTGCTTTACATTGGAGGAATATCCTTGGGGCACCTTCACTCCGCGTAAGCACTCACAAAAACTTTGTTTCTCCTTCTTTGATAGTGTGTGACATGCTGGAGGTAGATAAGTTCTCCTACCTTGTGGCACCGGAGCCAACTCCCCTCGTATTCCCATAGAGATCATATCTTTTCGAGCATTCACTGTATCCTTTGTCTTGCCTTGTATATTAAGAAGTGTGCCTATTAGACTATCGCTCACATTCTTTTCCACGTGCATCACATCGATACAATGACGTACGTCGAGCTTGTCCCAATAAGGGAGATCAAAAAAGATAGATCTCTTTTTCCATAAGCTTCTCTCGGCTGGCTTTTGTGTTTTACCGTACCTCACATTGAGATTTTTAACTCTATCAAAGACTTGTTCGCCATTTAACGCATCTGGAGCACTTTCATACTCGGTACGGCCATTAAATGCTTTTCTCAATCGACGATATGGGTGGTCCGGCTTCAAAAACTTTCGACTACCAAGGTACACCGTCTTCCTCCCATGTTCGAGCTGATGGAAGCAAGTGCCGTCTTCACATATTGGGCATGCTTTATGCCCTTTAACACTATAACCGGACAAATTTCCATAAGCAGGAAAATCATTTATCGTGCAAAAAATCATAGCACGCATCTTAAACGATTCTTGTTTGTATGCATCAAATACATCAACGCCTTCCTCCCATAACATCTTCAAATCTTCAATCAATGGTTGCAGATAAACGTCTATGTCATTTCCCGGTTGTTTCGGCCCCGAGATCATCATAGACAACATGATGTACTTGCGCTTCATACACAATAAGGGAGAAAGATTATAAACAACCAATAAAACTGGCCATGCACTGTGCTTGCTACTTAGGCTACCGTATGGATTCATCCCGTCCGTACAAAGACCGAGCCTGATGTTTCTTGGCTCATTTCCAAAGGAAGGAAACAAGTGGTCNANNNNC